ATTTTTCTTTATATTTGTTTTGTGATTGCAGTAATTAATTTTCGAACCGATAAATTTTGTCTAATCCTTGTAAATTGGCCCCTAAATGTCCAAAATGGACTCTGAAAATTGTCAAACTGTACATATTGCTACCCCAACTTCCTATGGAGGGTTCATTAAAGGTTTCACAAAGAAATCATTTGGAGCCATATCACCAAAATATTCATTTTTGAGATTTAAAATGTATCAAGTCTTACAATGTTATTCCTACGCAACTCTCTTTTCTTAGGATGGACTCAAAGTGGTAGAACCTAGATGTTTTTGTATATTGCTCAAAATCAACAGAAAGGTCATGTAAGCCACTGACCCTTCATCAATAAAGTGTTGAGGACTTGATTCGACAACCATCATAGGATTATAGCTCAAATATCTTTTGCAGAAACCTGAAAGGTGATCTGCACCAATCTCAATGATCTTCCTCTTGGGGCAGAGCAGCACCAGGGACTTCAACATAGTTGCTCACCCCTTATGGTCTCCCGGAGGGCTTTCATAGCTGCTTTTGACCTCTTTGGAGAACCTACAATGCCAGAGTAAGGATCAGTATCGGTCAATCAACCACCAGACTGAATTGGACAAATCTTTTCAGGACTTTACTGGGTCGAGTAGACCAGTCAAGAAAGCAGCAAGAATACAACAAACAACCTGCAGCTTTGTAATCTGCTCTCAATGATATTTGGAGTCACAATTGCGTTTTCTTCTCTAAAATATGCTTTATTTCATCCAACCAAAGACATCTATGTCCAGTTCTGATACGGATCGAAAAGTCAAATTGAATCATATAAGTGAAATCTCCTTTAGTCTGATCTTCTACTATTTTCATGTTTGGTTCTAAAGAAATTGAGAAGAAAAGGGTTTGCCATAAAATTTTGACGATTCTAAAAAGAAGTATATCCGTCCTCCCTAACTGTCTTTCCACTTCCCTCATTCAGGAACAGAAATTTCGCCTGGCTCTTTGCATGTTGGTCCTCCTCACTAACCAATAAGCTTTTGCTACAAAGACTACCTATTGCAGATAATAGCTCTTGACTCACAAGATGGATGTAAGTGATAAGGGATCTTAACCTAAAGACCTCAAAAGTCACAAGGATCTATTAAGCAAGCTCCAGAAAAATGACTTGATGGGGGACACAATTACCATGGAACATGGCTCTTCGATGAGTTACAGCAGCCACAGAAGAAAGTAGTGGATTCCCTGAGTGTCCCTTCTTAGCAGACAATACCTACAATGTTACATAAAATATCAAACATATTTGTTCGTAGCATTTGCAAATGTGGTGAAATCCAATTCTATATGAAAATTTCCAACTCTGAAGTTTGATGTACTAGCAGTCAAACAATAACATACCTAGTGAAATCCTACAAGTGGGGTCTGGGAGAGTAGAATGTACGTAGACCTTACCACTACCTCGTGGAGGTAGAAAGGCTGTGTCCAGAAGACCCTCAGCTCAAATGCAGCAATTCTAGATACAAAGAAGAAAATATAGCCAGTTACAAGTAACAACAAAATAGTGCAATACCCGCAACATAATAAACAACATACTAGGATAGATTATTGAAAACAATAATAAATAATGATGGATAAAAAAAATAAGAACTACAGTACCAACCACCCAAGACAAGACAACACTACACTACATATTAACCTTCTACACTAATACATGTCCTCCACACCTTCCTATCTAAGGTCATATCCTTGGTAATCTGTTCTAGCAGTCAAACATATAAATTTTAGCCAATGGATAATATGCAGCAGAACCCCAGATTTTAGCATCTAATTCTGCAAGAATAAGAAATTATTCGAGAAAGACTAGTTCAAAAGCTTTGCAATTGTGTTGTCCATTTAACATCTATGTCAATCTTAGGCCAAGCAGGTATCACAGAGCTAGCTGTTGAGCCTTCTATTAAACAAGAATTATGAAGGTGCAAAGTAGGAAAGATCTAGGTTCATTTTTCCCCCTGCTATAAGATCTTTCAAAACCAATAGGAGGTGGACCAGTCTAGGTGGGGAGTACAGCAATAATAATAGGCTTAGCAAGCACTTCTTTGCAGCCTGAGAACTGCTACTATAGCATCATTCCACCCTCCCTCTGCTGATTCATTTGTTTTGAAAGTATTAGGAAGAGTACTCCTATAAAGAAATTAGTGCTCTAAACCTATTAACAAATTTTTATACATAATCTAATGCAGAGGGGCATAAAGAAAAGGCATTAACAGATGCATCCTAGAAAAAGAAAAAAACAAAGAATAAGCATCAAAAGTAGAAACAGAAAAAAACAAAGAATAAGCATCAAAACAAAGCACAACTTTTGGACAAACTTCAAAAGAAAATGGAGAAGGAAAACCAAGATGCAAAATGATAGCTATGCTTGATTTCGAAGAGAAGCATACAGAAACCGATTAGGATATTGCATTTAAGATTGCACAACCTACAACAATGATACATCATTATAGATCAGCTTATGTTAGTCTTCAGGCACTGACAAACTGGGTAACTTACCCTTGACAAGACAAGATGGAGGGGTGGATTCATAACTGCAGTCATATTGTTCATGAGTCATAAACAAGAATAAAAAAAGTCAAATCAGAAGAAAGGACAAGAATTTCCAACTCTGGTCTTCATATTATGGTAAAAGATAAAAGAAAGTGACATGCACTTGCTTTGTCTTTAATTTCTTTTTCATAAAATTGTACCTATGGACAGTCTCTCAATTATGGTTTTTATTGTTCCTGGTCCAGACCTCCTATTGCACAGTACAGTGTCATTCAATTCCTCAATAAGAATGGAAGGAACATTAACAGCAGTGACCTAGGGCATACAAACAAGAACATTTTGCAAAACAGAAGATTATAACCCATGACACACTTTTGTTGTAATCCTCTTTTCCTGACACTTTGCAGTTTAAAGAAGAAACATTTATTTCTTTCAGTCATAAAATGTAAGGCTTACCACCAATCTATTAGTATCGACAATGCTGTAAGGTTAATTTGTCGGCCTCACACTATTTTCATTTGCATCTGGTTCCTAATTAAGAAGACTAGCATGTTAAAATAACTTGAACAACATTCCCAGAGGCTCTGGAAATGAACAGACCTTCTGTATCAAGCAAAAGTCAAATTTATGTTTGCAATATTGTTCAGGGCCATTATGCTTTAGTTATTAAATAAGCAGAGTCCTCATATCACAGACCTGAAGATCTGTAAGGAGCTTGATGCAGTAGCCTTTTCCAAGTCTATTAGTTGACAGACATGTTTGACTACTTCTTTTCCATTTTCTTTCATTTCGATGGCAAGCATGGAGGATTCCATGTCATCCAAAATGTGGGTCTTCTGTTTGCAGCCAACATGTTTATCCTGAAAATGAGAGCATTGCCAATTTGATTGGACCATAAATCATCCCTCACCAATAATCTCTGCAAGAGCAAGAACCTTCTTTAAAAGAATGAAACCTACTTCTGTCTCTAACCACAATCTCTAATCCGTAGACTTTAGATATCAACTTCATAAAACTATGACAATCTTTGCACACCCTCAAATTCTTTACAATTCGTATGGTGCTTCCCTTACATAACCTTGCCATACCAAAAGCAACAGCAAGTTTCTCGCTGTGCTTAGACACGGTATCTTCCTTTTCTTCCTCTTCTATATCATGTAAAACACTGCCTACCTCTGGAATATAACCACCTTTTACTTTAAGTTTTAACATTATCTCACTTAGCTTATTATAAGCCTCTTCAGTAATCTCATTTTGTTTATCACCTGCTACAAAACTGTACATGACCTTGTCTATTTCAATCATGCTCCAACCTGGTATTTTCTTCATATCTTTCTCAGCCATTGATCTCCTCACCATGGCAACATCCTTCCATTTCCCAGCAAATGTATAAATGCTGGACAGCAAAACATGGTCACCACAATTGTCTGGATCCAGCTCAGAGAGTCTTTTATTAACTTGCTCAGCCATTTCAATGTCGCCAAGAAAACTGCAAGCCCCAAGAAGTGTTCGCCAGATAACGGCATTGGGTGGTACTGGCATTTGAACCACAAAATTATATGCCTTACGAAGCTGACCAGCCCTACCATAAAAATCAACCATACAACCATAATGCTCAATAGTTGGTTCAATGTCATAAGTTTCTGCCATTTTACTGAATAGCTCATGACCTTATTCAACTAAACCAGCATGACTACATGCATAAAGTACCGAAATAAAAGTGACCCCATCAGGTCTGATCCCAGATTCTTCCATCTCATGAAAATATTTTATCACCTATTCACCATATCCTTGCATTGCAAGCCCTGCAATCATAGAAGTCCAAGAAACAATGGTTTTCTTCCCAAGCATTCTCTCAAAGACAAGACGAGCCATCAACACATTTCCACACTTGGAGTAAGTATCCAAAAGTGCATTGTTCACAGAACTTATCCAAACCAACCCCACTTTCTCTATAAATGAATGCAATACCATCCCAAACTTAAACGCCCCAGCTTGAGCACACGCAGATAAAGCAACCGTCAAGCTCACTTCATTCGGCTTACTTCCACTCCCAACCAACTCCCTGAAAACCCCAAGTGCCTCATCAAATCAACCATTATGAGAAAATCCAACAATCATACTACTCCAGGAAACATCATCTCTACTTGGCATCTGCAAGAACAACCCCTCTGCACGCTCAAGCTCCCCGGCTTTAGTATACCCTGCCAGCATCACATTCCAAGTAGTCAAGTTCCTAAACGGCAATAAACCAAACACTTTATCTGCACCACTCACATCACTCCCTCGAAAATATGCTATAGCCTATAAGTATTAAATTCCGCGCCACAACATTTGGTTGAGGTATTTCAACAAACACCTTCCAAGCAAACTCAACAAACCCACATTCCGCATACATACTAATCATTGTAGTCCCAACAAAGAGATGGGTATCAAGACCACAAGTCATAGCTTGACAATGCAGCTGAAACCCAGTTCTTCAAAGCTCCAATCAGTTAAGCCTTGTGTTTATGTCCATCTCTATCTCTAGTCATGTATTTTGCTCTCTATAATAAGCCTTATGGCCATTGGATTCCTAAAGTTTCTTACATTTTTCATGACCAAGTTATTTTTTGATGTTTTATCAAATAGTTGGAGAAAAATGACTTTCCTCATTTATAGGCAAAAAAATAGTTTTCTTATAATATGAACTTTTAACTTTATATTATTGTTTGCAACATCTTTTTTATTCTTCGAGGGTTTTACTGGTGTATTTCTCGAACTAAGATGATTTGGACTTGATCTCCATGAAATGATGTGTGATCTTCTTGAAGTATTTGATTATGAAGAACAGTCCAACATATCTTGATCTCTTAATAGATATCCCAAGAATCTACGGGATATTCGAAATGCCTTTTCAAGGAAATATAATAGGAATACTACATAATTAGACATATTTCACTTCCATATATACTATTATTATCTATACTTTCAATTGCATGGGTCACCTCAGTTATTTCAAGCCCCTAAAGATCAACTAGACTACTTATTAGCTCATAATATCCCTGCAAAGTTACACAAGTATAGTGCATCTGTTATCTATTAATTAGAGACAAGAATCAGGGGATACACTGAGTTGTACTCACAAGTTTGATTAAGAAAATCATTTTTCTTTATATTTGTTTCGTGATTGCAGTTATTAATTTTCAAACTGATAAATTTGTCTAATTCTTGTACATTGGCCCCTAAATATCCAAAATGAACTCTGAAAATTGTGAAACTGTACATATTGCTACCCCAACTTCCTACGAAGGGTTCCTTAAAAGTTTCACAAAGAAATCATTTTGAGCCATATCACCAAAATATTCATTTTTGAGATTTAAAATGTACCAAGCCTTACAATGTTATTCCTACGCAACTCTCTTTCTTAGGATGGACTCAAAGTGGTAAAACCTAGATGTCTTTAAGCCACTGACCCTCATCAATAAAGCGTTGAGGACTTGATTTGACGACCATCATAGGATTATAGCTCAATGCCAGAATAAGGATCAGTATCGGCTTTTGATCTCCCCGAGGGCTTTCATCACTGCTTTTGACCTCTTTGGAGAACCTACAATGCCAGAATAAGGATCAGTATCGGCCAATCAACCACCAGACTGAGTTGGACAAATCCTTGCAGGACTCAACTGGGTCAAGTAGACCAGTCAAGAAAGCAGCAAGAACACAACAAACAACCTGCAGCTTTGTTATCTGCTCTCAATGATATTTGGAGTCACAATTGCCTTTTCTTCTCTAAAATATGCTTTATTTCATCCAAACAAAGGCATCTATGTCCAGTTCCGATCCGGATAGAAAAGTCAAATTGAATCATACAAGTGAAATCACCTTTAGTCTGATCTTATACTCATTTCTTGTTTGGTTCTAAAGAAACTGAGAAGAAAAGGGTTTGCCGTAAAATTTCGACGATTCTAAAAAGAAGTATAGCCCTCCCTCTCCCTAACTGTCTTTCCACTTCCCTCATTCGGGAACAGAAATTTCGCCTAGCTCTTTACTTGTTGGTCCTCCTCACTAACCAATAAGCTTTTGTTTAAAAGACTACCTATTGCAGATAACATCTCGACTCACAAGATGGATGTAAGTGATAAGGGATCTTAACCTAAAGACCTCAAAATTTACAAGGATCTATTAAAGAAGCTCCAGAAAAATGACTTTGATGGGGCACACAATTACCATGGAACATGGCTCTTCGATGAGTTACAGCAGCCACAGCAGAATGTAGTGGATTCCCTGAGTGTCCCTTCTTAGCAGACAATACCGACAATAATACATAAAATATCAAATATATTATTTTTTTTGATAATCGAGAAATCCATCTGTGACCCGCCCTTTGGACCAATCTAAACTATCAAACATATTTGTTGGTACTTGGTAGCATTTGTAAATGTGGTGAAATCCAATTCTATATGAAAATTTCCAACTCTAACGTTTAATGTTCTAGCAGTCAAACAACAACAACATACCTAGTGAAATCCTACAAGTGGGGTCTAGGAGGGTAGAATGTACGTAGACCTTACCACTACCTCGTGGAGGTAGAAAAGTTGTTTCCAAAAGACCCTCGGCTCAAATGCAGCAATTCTAGATACAAAGAAGAAAATATAGCTAGTTACAAGCAACAGCAACAACAACAACAAAATAGTGCACTAACCGCAACACAATAAACAACATACTAGCATAGATTATTGAAAACAATAATAAATAATGATGGATATAAAAAATAAGAACAGCAGTACCCACCACCCTGGGCAAGACAACACTACACTACACGTTAATCTTCTACCCTAATATGTGTCCTCCACACCTTCCTATCTAAGGTCATGTCCTCGGTAATCTGTTCTAGTAGTCAAACATATTTTAGCCAATGGATATTATGCAGCAGAACCCCAGATTTTTAGCTTCTAATTCTGCAAGAATAAGAAATTATTCGAGAAAGACTAGTTCAAAAGCTTTGCAATTGTATTGTCCATTTAATATCTATGTCGATCTTAGGCCAGCAGGTATCACAGAGCTAGCTGTTGAGTCTTCTATTAAACAAGAATTATGAAGGTCCAAAGTAGGAAAGATCTAGGTTCATTTTTCCCCCTGCTATAAGATCTTTCAAAACCAATAGGAGGTGGACCAGTCTAGGTGGGGAGTACAGCAATAATAATAGGCTTAGCAAGCACTTCTTTGCAGCCTGAGAACTGCTACTATAGCATCATTCCACCCTCCTCTGCTAATTCATTTGTTTTGAAAGTATTAGGAAGAGTACTCCTATAAAGAAATTAGTGCTCTAAACCTATTATTGAATTTTTATACATAATCTAATGCAGAGGGGCATAAAGAAAAGGCATTAACAGATGCATCCTAGAAAAAGAAAAAAACAAATAAGAAGCATCAAAACAAAGCACAACCTTTGGACAAACTTCAAAAGAAATGGAGAAGGAAAAAACCAAGATGCAAAATGATAGCTATGCTTGATTTCGAAGAGAAGCATACAGAAACCGATTAGGAAATTCCATTTAAGAATTTCACAATCTACAACAATGATACATCATTATAGATCAGCTTATGTTAATCTTGAGGCACTGACAAACTGGGTAGCTTACCCTTGACAAGACAAGATGGAGGGGTGGATTCATAACTGCAGTCATAAAACAAGAATAAAAAAAGTCAAACCAGAAGAAAGGACAAGAATTTCCAACTCTGGTCTTCATATTATGGTAAAAGATAAAAGAAAGTGAAAATGCACTTGCTTTGTCTTCAAAACTTTTTCATAAAATTATACACTTGCTTTGTCTTTAAAAGTGAAAATGCACTTGCTTTTTATTGTTCCTGGTCCAGACCTCCTATTGCACAGTAAAGTGTCATTCAATTCCTCAATACAAATGGAAGGAACATTAACAGCAGTGACCTTGGGCATACAAACAAGAACATTTTGCAGAGCATAAGATTATAACCCATGACACACTTTTGGTGTAATCCTCGTTTCCTGACACTATGCAGTTTAAAGAAGAGACGTTTATGTCTTTCAGTCATAAAATGTACAGCTTATCAATCTATTACTATCAACAATGCTGTAAGGTTAATTTGTCAGCTTCACACTATTTTCATTTGCATCTGCTACCTAATTAACAAGACTAGCATGTTAAAATAACTTGAACAACATTAACAGAGGCTCTGGAAGTGAATAGACCATCTGTATCAAGCAAAAGTCTAATTTATGTTTGTAATATTGTTCAGGGCCATTATACTTTAGTTATTAATAAGCAGAGTCCTCGCGTGGAAAAGTGAAGCAAGCAATGAGAAAGGTAGTAACATGAAAAAGCCAGACCAATCGCGTGGAAAAGTGAATACACAAAGATTGCCGAGCGATGACAAGAGAAGAGAACTAGAAAATACTCCCATTGAGGTGAATAGTGTGGAATCAGCTCAGAGGGTTGATCACAGTATCTCGACAAGAGTTGATGGAGATCAAGAGTTTATTACAACTCAAAAAGAGAGTAATGAGATGAGCGCCAAATCTGATAGAGGAGTCAGAGGAACAAATTCAAAATAGAAGAAATGCAGAGGAGGATGAGGATTTGGAGGAAAACATACAACACATAAGTATAGCTGGAGATTTATCTCCCAGACACACCAGTAGCTTGAAGAGCAGGGCCAGAAAAAAAAGATCTATACTTCCTCTACAAGTTCAAAAAAGGAGAAGTAAAGATAAATCTACAAGTTGTGATCAATGAATACAAAAATGTTGTTTAGGAATATTAGATCCGTTAATTCTCAAAATTCATTTGAGCGGTTAATGGAACTTAATAGAAGATATTGTTATTCATGCATAGCTTTTATGGATCCAGTAGAGTTAGATCAATACAAAGGCAGGTTAGGAATGAGCAATGCTTTGACAAACTGTTCGAACAAAATATGAATTTTTTGGACGGATAGTTGGGAAGGACAGATGATTATTGATTCGTATCAACAGATCACAATGAAATTCAGCAATGACAATAAATTGTTACTCATTACAGCAGTGTATGCAAGGTGCAATACATTGGAGAGGTTGGAACTATGGGAACAACTGAAAGAATTAACTCAAGGAAATCTTTTACCTTGGGTAATAGGAGGGGACTTTACTGTGATCCTCAATGAAGAAGAGAAGCTAGTTGGTTTGGATTTCACTCAACACGAGGCAATAGATTTTGCTAGTTGCATCAATAATTGTGCTCTTTCAGAATTAAAAACTACAGGAAGCAAGTTCACCTCACCTGGTGGAATGGTAGAATAGAAGAAGCGTGTATTTTCAAAAGATTGGACAGGGTGTTAGTCAATTAGGAATTTATCAATAATTTTCCTTCATCAGAAGTACACCATCTCATCAGACAAGATTATCTGCGAGATTAGTTTATTCCCCTAATTTTTCATATATCCAACTTTCAATGATAACAACCACTTAATCAGGTCTTTGAAAACAAATGTGTCGCCTTTTTCTTCCAGAAATCACAAACACACTTCACTAACATTTTAACCACAAAAGAAAAAGGAAACAGTAAGAGAATCGAAAGAATATTCATTTACCAAACAACTAGCAATCTTACCCAAAAAACACCCTAACCTGTTGAAATTTTACTTGTAAACGGTCCATTTACCACTAGCTGTTACCAATTCATTACTAATGGCCTAAATTATTTGCACATTATTAATACAAACATTTGTATCCAAGCAAAAGTCTTTTTAGTCTGCAGTGTTTATGTGCACTCTAGTAATTGAGAAAATAGTAATTCTTTAAATAGGACAAACCTTCATTGATAATTTCTTCAAAATCTTTTTGTCTCTTATCCCATCGTATAAAAGTTCATAGGCATAATAGGTGATATGATTCTTCTTCAGCAAGTCTTCCACAACAATCTTAGGAGCCGCCACATCCTTTTTATCTGCTTCAAAAATTGTGTGGACCACATCAGGGACAACACCCTGCTGCACCATGAGATGAATGATACCAACTGCATCGAGTAATCTGTTCTTCACACATAGGCAATTGATCACACGTCCCACTGTTTCTTTTGATGGAAGAAATTCTTTCGAAAAGTTTTCAAGCAAAAACTTGTATCCAAATTCAGTGTTGTCGACCTTGCAGAAACCATCTATCATACAACGGTATGTGTAGTTGTCAGGAGGACAGCCACATTCATTCATCTCAAGAAAAAGCTTCTTTGCCATGTCCATTTTCAGCTTTTTAGCAAATGCACTGATTAATATATTGTATGTTGCAGTAGTATGAGAATATTTATATTGCCATTTCATTCTTTTGAATAGCTCATAAGCTCCATCCAAATCCTCATTCTCACAAAACCCATTTATCAGAGTGCCAAAACTCACTGTATCAGGAATAAGACCCCTGCTTTGAATATCCTCAAGTAATTCTAAAGCTTTCATAAGCTTTCTAGATTTACAGAGGCTCTCAATGAGTATATTATATGTGATTATATTTGGGACACACCCTTTTTCCACCATGACTTTGAAGGTTTCCATCACATCATCAGAAGTTTTAAGCTTGCAAAGTCCATTCAACATGGTGTTATAGGTTATCACATCAGGAACAACATCATGATGCCACATTGTATTTAGAATCTCGATTGCATCAGCCAATTTTGACTGTTTGCAATAACCATCAATCAAGGTGTTGAAGGTAAAAATATCAGGAAGGATCCCTTTGGGCACGGCATCATTCAGGATATTACTAGCATCAGATACACAACCCATCTTGCACAACCCATTGATGATCAGATTATATGTCCATGTATTAGGCCTGCAACTTTTCTCAGGCATTTCAGTAATCAATCTCAATGCTTCTAAGATAAGTCCCTGCTGACACATTCCCTTAATTAAGGTGTTATAGAGTATTATATTAGACTCCATACCTTTACCTATGGCTTCATTAAATAAACTCTTGGCTCTGTTGAAGTCACCATCCTGGCATAATCCGTAAATAAGGGAGCAGAAAGTAAATACATCAGGAACAAAACCTTTAAAAACTGCATTATTAAGGATTCTGTCAGCTTTCTGTACCATACCCAATTTGCAATATGCACCAATGATTGTGTTATAGGTGAACGCATCGGGATCGAACCCGCGGTTCACCATTTTATGCAAGTAAGACTCAGCTTCAGCAACCTTTGAGTGTTTGCATAAACCACATATGAGAGTGTTATAAGTGACTACATCAGCATTTAAACCTTCTTTCCTCAAAGCTTCCAATATCCTAGCAGCTTCATGTAGTTGGCCGTTTACAGAAAGACCTTGTATTAAGAGATTACATGTAAACAAATTTGGAAACACCCCTCTTTTCACAATCTTGTTAAGAAGCCTTTCACTTTCTTGGACGTCCCCCTTCTTACAAAGTGTACATATAAGCTTATTAAACGTAGTAACATTAGGAGTTATTCTGAGCCTAAGCATTTCATCAAACAATTCACAAGCCTCAACTCGACAATTCACTTCATAAAATCCAGCAATTACTGTACAGCATGCGACTGCATTAAATTCACATCCTTGATCAAGCATGTTATTCAAAAGCCTTAAAGCAACCTGAGGCCGGTTTGTCCTACAAAATGACTTTATCCTAATAGTAAAGGTATATACATCAGGAGAAATACCATTTTCCAGCATTTTCATATAAACTTTATGGGCTTGTTTAAAATAACCATGTTCAACCAATATATTCATGATTGTGTTAAACGAATGAACAGACGGGTCACAATTGAAAAAATCCATCTTCTCAAACACATCAACCGCCTGTTGAACTTTCCCCTTCTTTCCATAACCTCTAATAGCAGTAATGTACACCCCTTCTAACAACCTATTATCAATATTCTTCCTGGCTTCTTCAATGACACCTTCCATTGCCCTGAACTCTCCATAATAACTAAGCTTTTCAACAATACATTTGTATGTAAACAAATTATGGCTAAACCCATGTTCCTTTTTCACTGAATTGAATATTTCTAGTGCCCTTAATGGGTTCTTTTGACATTTTAATACAGCGGCAACATGTTTAGGAAGCACAACAGCACTCATTTGCTTAATACCAAATCAGTAAAGGTAAAATGCTGCTCAATTCAGGTCTCTGAGTAACTCAATCAATACTACCATGAAAACCAATTCAACTCTTTTATACCTTCTTATCACTAACATGAAACCCTACAAGCAGGGAAAGGACAAATAAGAAAAATGTAAATGGTAGAATAGCATTACCTGAGTCGTTGACTGGGTTTGGTTCGGTGACAACAGAGAAAGAGGGCGGCCGACGAAAAATGTTGGCGGCTCAACCAAGTGCCCGTCACTGAGTTTTACTCATGTATTTGGGAGGTCTTTTCGATCTAGTTAAGAAAAAATTAACTACATATATTTTACTATCAGATAATATACCATGAAAGTTAAGTTTATGTCCCCATAATAACAAACTAATTACGCACATCTATCTATATATAATAGGAGAAGAAAAAGTGTCACGAGTCAACGTCACAATTTTTTTTATGAATTATTAAAATTTAATATTTTTCTAAAAAATCCAATTTATAAATTATTAAAAAGGACAGATTTAATATTTATTTATTTTTAAAAAAAATTATACAATTTTTTAAAAAACGGCAGTTGTATGGAAACGGACAAAGTTCAATTTATAAATTTGTAAAATCATTTATTATTAAAAACGTTTTATTAATAATAATGTAATTGATATACCGTGAGTTTACGGTATTTCTACTACATT